GCTTGGTTTGGACCACCTTTGGCTGTGTCCTTTTTTCTGAAATATCAAGTTCTCCGTGCAACTGACGATAAAATCCAGTACCAAGGTAAGCCTTATAGGAAGCAAAAGGCAAATGAGTTGTTTTGGTTTCTGGCCATTTTACTCTAATGATAGCAAATATTCCCCTAGCAAGTAGTCCTGAGCAAGTAACTGTTTTGAGTATCACATGGATCTGTCCTTATTTCCCATGTCAGCATTACAGTATTCTGTTAGGAATTAAATGAGCCAATTTAATGAGGTGAAACTGATTTTTTATAATGTCCAGAGTAAAAGTTTGAGATAGATGAGTAAACCACTCTCTCACAATCTATCAGAATATTTTAATGCAATGTAAGATCCTATTCTGCAACCTAATAAAATCATTCATTAAATAGGCTCTTATTAGCAAGCAGTAATGGAGCAGTTCATATAACCTATTCTATGAGTTCAATGAACCCCCAAGAGTCTACCTTTTTGATGGTAGAAATAGATTTCTTGAGGTGGACAACAACAATATTGTAGAAACAAAGTTTTATTAACATTGTAGTCAGCATCAATGAAAGGACCACCCCACCAAAACTTCCAGGAATTGTGTAGATTCTAATTCCAAGGATAAAAACTCCTGGCCAGTTTGAACTATTATTCCATGTTTGTGCAAAGATGGGGAGCATTGACAGAATTTTTAAAAATATATGTAAGTGTTCTGCCACCTGCCTTGCAAGCACAAGGTCCCGAGTTCAATTCATGGTACCAAAAAAAAATAATAATAATAAGAAGAAGAAAATAAAATAAAACTGTAAGTAAATCTACATATCTTAACAAACTTTAGTTTTAATACTTAAAGCTCATTTCTAACATTCATTTTTCTAACGATAATTTCACAAATAATAGCCCATTTCTGACAATCACAATGAAAATTAACCCAGTATATTATATTGACTAAGGCATAAACAATCGAAGAAATTCAGATACTTCCCAATATGGCTTAATGGTGTGCTTCATCCTTGAGTATTAACTACACTTATACTAAAATAATTTAAGATCAATTACAAGTATTATAGCAAATAGGAATTGCAATCATTGCTGTATTACAGTTAAAGATGCTGAAGGCTTGCATATGTGGCTTAACTCACTTAAAATCACATAGTTAATAAATGGTGGCACCAAAATTCAAACCCAACAAGTATGATCCAGAATCTACATAATGCAAAACTGCCTTTCTAGACAAAAAGTATTATCACAGGATTCAGTTGAGGTCAAAACATTGTACGTTGAATTCGGACCAAAGTATAATAGATTATTTGCTAGCTACAGTCATCTTAGTCGTGTCTTCCTTATGGAAGAGTTACTAGTTAAGGAAAATGTCCAGGAAACTTGGACACCAGCATAAAAGTCTTCATTCATTATATTTAGACAATTAAAGGACACTCAATGCCTAAGTACCAATTTGCTGTTTATTCATATTTATCCTAATTTGAGTCACATTAAAAAAATATATATATATATGGTATAAATTTTATAAAATATAGTAGTCTACCATCCTTTTGGTATATTTGCATTTTGACTAAAGTACTCTTCTAAGTATTAAGTAGATATTGATGATGTTTATCAGGCTTTAAATTTTAAAAATAGCATGTCTTTTCTTTCTTTTTTTTTTTCTACTTAATCCTGATGCAATGTTCCTTGACTCTGAATAAATAATCTTGAATATACTGGAAACAAAAAGTCTCTAAGACTTTTTAGACATCAAATGGTTCTTATGAAACATTTGAATGAGCCAAATATGAGAGTCAGAAACATAAGGATTAAATTTCCCTTGACATCCACTTAAGTTATAAAATTAAGAAACAGTGATTGGCAAAACAGTTTTGGAACTTTTGTAACATTTGTAAAGGCATTCAAGATGTTTCTCAGAACTTAAAACAGGCCAGATCCTTCCATTCATAGTAAAAAAAAAAAAAGAAAAAAGAAAAAAACGGTAATAAATATACACACATAAGGCATGGAAATGTGTGTGGATGTGGGTATGTGTGTGTGTGTGAATAAACCATTTATTCTCTAAAATTTAAGTGGAAACATTACACCTCAATTTTCCCCCTCTCAACATAAATTCCCTTACGTACAGCCATATATCCTTTAAATTTATTGTTAGATGTCTTAGAATGTGTAAAAAACAATAACCTAACTACTGCTACATTACAGCACCTAGTAACTGGTCTCCCAGTTTTCAGTACTTTAGAAGGCAAGATGCTTGAGCTGTAAATGGAATCGGTACGGCTGTGTTCTTCCAGGCTCTGTCTGCGGCATAAGCCACTGACTGTTATGAGGTGTCTTCAATTCGTCCTTGAATAGGACAGCCCTAATCCATTCTTGAGGTGATTTTCCTATGAAACGCACTCATACATATTTTGAATGCAGTTCATATAATAGTATTTGCAGCTTCACTAAAATCATTCATCATTCCTAAAGAGTTAAATTCTAAGAAATAGATGTTCTCAATTATGGTAGCGTTTGTGAGAAGAGATTCTCCTCTATTTAATCCCCTAAACTGTTTTGCTGTATTATTTTTAGGTATCTCTCTGTAACATGAAAGCTTCTCTAAACAAGGTCTGTGATTTTGACTCCACATCCCTAGGTCAAACACACCATCCAGCACAAAATAAACACACAGTAAGCAATTACGGAGAAAAAGAAAAAGCCAATTATGTCACTCTATCACACTCTTTTATAGAAAATGATAAAATGATCCACACAACAGTGACTTCCAAATTGAATGAACAGCCTTATCTTTTCCACGAAGATTAGATCTGTATAACTAAACATTCACTGACTTCCTTCCTCTTGCCACCCCCATTGAAATGTGTCCCAAACCGAACACATCTTTTTTCCTGTTATGCTGTCTGCAATCTGCTTAAATCACTTCAGCATTGTCAGTGTGATACATATGTGTGTGTTACTTTTCACCCACACCCTGGGGGCAGTCAGTTGCCCTAATCTGGAAAACACTCTAAGGATGGGCTGTTGGCATTTATTTAAAAGGACACATTCCAGAAGTGATTGCCTCAAGTGATTCAAATAGCTTTCTTTCTAAACAAGAACAGAAGTTGTGTAAATTAGCACAATAGACACTGAGAGAAACCTTTTATTGGGAAACAATGTCATGCAAAATACATTAATAGGCTACAGGAAATTTTAGGAAGCCAGAGAGCCCAGTACTCCGTGCCTTTATGAAGAGTACTTTTGGCTTAAATTCAAAAGTTCATCAGAAGACTCTTGGACATGTTCCGCTAACTAGATGGTTAACTAAATCCTGCCCCTTAGAATTTCAGTATATTTGCCTAAATCGTGCCTTTTATACTCCCTGCTGTAGGAAACCCTGAAAACAGAGAACCCATATTTGTTGGCCCTTACAGAACAGATTGTATGTCTCAGGCTTTTTCTCTAAAACAGTGATGGCAAATCTTTTAGAGCTTTCAATGATACAAACAGCCTGCAGGGGCACATGTACCCTAGTTTCACCCCCACTGCATTAAGGTGCTGGTCCCTGGGTCTGCTTCCTGGTCACATAAACTAGGCAGCTCTGCCCCACTGTGCCTTTCCTCTGTGATGATTCTGCCTCAAAGTCAGCTACCCTTGGACTGAAGTCTCTGAAACAATGAGCCCAAATAAATCTCTCCTTTAAGTTAGGAGTGTCAAGTTCTCTGTCCCAGCAGCAAAGAAGCTGACCAATGCAATCTTTTAATCTGAGCGCTAAAGTAGTAATTACCTATGCTTGGAAGCACCTGTCTGAGAACATTTATTTTTAACCTAGGAACAATATTAAAGGACAGCAACAGTCCTCACCTACGTAACATTATTGGACAATGCAACTATTTACAAAACAAAAATCTAAAAATCCTTAATATACCTCAGAAACTGAAGTATCGTCAAACGTTTGCTACTTTCAAATTTCCTAGAACAGTAAGGAAGCTTCTACTTAGATGGCTGCACCTTGAAATCTAGGCAGTACTGTAACCATTCCTTCCACAAAGTCCCATAAATAATTTAACATTGACTCTTGCGATTTTTCCATGAGCTTTTAGTTTAGCCATGCTTCTTGTCTCTTAACAAACTCTCCAGTTCAAGACTCCGTTATTTTTTAATCTGGATTATCACAGTGGCCTCTTAACTATTTTCTCCAGGGATGATCTAGGTTTACATTCTACAGACTGTGGATTGAAAGATCATTATTCAACTGAATTTTTAATAATGGTGCTTCGTTTCTGTTTATCTGTCTCAGTTGCTTTCCAGAGTCTCCAAGATAATATCTGAGTTAACCAAGTTCTTACAGAATATCTTTTTTTTCTTGCTATTGTGTTGACTTTTAGAATGGCGCAGAGCATAACATTACATTTCTTCGGGAATTTTAAACTTTATGGTGTTTGATGATGAAGTTGACAGTAGAAGTTATTAATGATCATGTCAAAAAGAGCACGTGTAGAATGCCTGATGACTGGCTGTACCACATTTTAGATTTTTTTTTAATTAAGAATTTTCAACATCTCTATATGAAGACAATATAAAGTGAAACAGAAATTCCACCAAACTAAGGCTCCAACAAGTGTTATAATTCTCATTCTTAATTCAATCACAATGTTCCTTAATGAGGCTGATTAAATAGTTGCATATTTATTGGTGCCCATACAATGGTTTCTATCCTCTAATACTATTTAGCTACAAATGTTACCGATACATTTCAAAACTATGATTTTACTTAGAGAATGATCTTAAACGTTTCGTTTGACAATTAATGAAAAGGCATGTTTCTTTCTCTCTCCCCTTGCTTGCTGTTAATAGTATGCTTAGCTTTAAGAAACATTTAAAAATACACACACACGATTTTTACGATATGATCTTTATGGATAACTAAAGTCTAATAGAAACCAAGTTTGGAGTAGTCTTTCTACTTCATTATTGCCAGGGATTTGGCTCAGCAGTTTGGTGGCCTGCCTTGCAAGTGCAAGGACCTGACTTCAATCCCTGGTACCAAGAAGAAAAAAAAAATCATTATAAAACAAAAAGAGCAGAAGGGCAAAAAATATTGAAAATGCAAATTGCTGCATTTCTTACGTTTTTGGTCTAATTTGAGGTTTGCCTTTGAAATCTTCGCTTAATAATTCTACATGCTATCTGGCGTCAGCAAGGTGGAGCTCAGGGATGCCATGGTGTTGTGAGTTCTCATACTTTTGTGTCACTGCACCGAGGGCTGTGAACCATACATGCAAGCGAAAATCCAGTTAGATTTGTGCAGTAGCAGACAACCAATACATAACCAAGACGAGCAATGCAGAACCATATGGGTGTCTCTTCTCGAAACATATGTTTCATGTCCATGAGCACAAAAGCAATTACAATGCAATTGTAAACTTGATTGCTTTGAAATGTTACACAGCAAGTGCTTTTGAGTTTAAAGAAATTATTGATAACCTGCTATGTAAAGTAGTTTTTGAAAGCTTACATGAAAGAGAATATAATATAATAAACAGAATAAGTCTTTTATATGACTTTTCTCATATGATCACAGGAAGTACAAATGGATACTTTCAGAGTTTGGAATGGCCAATTTTATACAAGAAAGTAAGAGAAATTTGGGATATAAGTGAGAGTCAGATTTGTGGAATATAACTGAGTAGACAAAAGTTTGAAGCAAAATTATATAAACAAAATTATATAAGCACTTTTCTCATATGATCACGGGGAATACAAATGGATTCTTACAGAGTTTGGAATGGCCAATTCGATATAAGAAAGTAAGAGAAACTTAGTACACACAGGAGAGTGAGATCTGTGTAATATAACTGGGTAGAGAAAAACTTGAAGCAAAATTATATAAGCAAAGAAAATAAAGATGGAGAGATTGGCCTTTCTATTATGTCAGTGCTAGTTAGACATCTGCTCATCTTTCTGCTAAAAGCATCATATTTCTGTATCTTGTAGATAAATAAATCTATTATATGAATTTATCGATTTGCTATATGTTGTCCAAATGATAGCTGGGTTTGGTCTGTCTTCCTGTATATTCACTAATTATTTGTTTTCTTTGTTTACTAAAATAATTTCATCCAATCAGCTAATCCTAATGACAAACCCTATTTGGTTGATAACAGGTTTTTGCCAAAAGCCATAACCATGAGGAGACTGAGCCAGGATAGGAATCCAGAGCTGATGGATCCAGTTCAGATCTCCCCGCTCTACATTCGGAAAAGATACAGCTCTTCATTAGGAGACATGGGGCATCAAATTTTAAATCAAACTTCAATTCCAGCCTTAACAAGTTAATATCAAACAAGGTAGATGATATTTACACATGTGATCTTACTACAAAGTGAAAACAGTGCATAAATATTCTAAGGGGGACAGTCTGCAAGGGCCTTGAAGACAAGCTGACACTGTAATGAGAATATTGCAGAAGGGTGAAGCAGTCCTAAAAGGGGAGTGAGCAATTGGGCCCATCATGATAAGGCAGTATAAATATGTAACCACAAACTCTTTTAGCTTTAACAATAAAAACTTTCTTTGCTCATGTGAGAGACTTAGTTTGGGGTAATCACCCAGAGATCTAAGCTAAGATGGACTTCATCTTAACAGCTCCAGAGTCACCCAAGTAGCAAGAAGAGAAACTAGAAACTTAGATTGATGATGAAGCAACACACGTCATCTCCATTCCAGTTCTTTCAGTCATGTGTCCATGCCTAGCTTTAAAACAGAGTGAGGCAAGCCTACAGGAATTCAGAATAATTTACTGACAGCACACTATTGCATCTGCTTTATGCAGGTGAGGTAAGAGGAGGAGATTCCTTATTTGAAAATGAACACTAAGGAATTCTGGACTCCTGGGTTCTTTGGTGACATTAAAAAGTCTGAGTTGTGTTTCTGAATTTAAAGCCAAACTAGTCTCACTACATCTTAAATTATCATGATTAATGAAGTCTTACTTCTATCACCTTAGACTGCCTATCTATACAGCCATGCTATTTTTTTATTCCTTTTCCTGTATTTTGATCTATCGCTAATGTTTCTATTGCTTCTTTTTGGCCCCAAATATATAAACCCTCTACATACTGTCCCTCTATCGTAGATGCCTTTATTTTTGTTTGTTTGTTTGTTTGTTTGAGACAGGGTCTCACTATGTAGTTGAGACTGACCTGGAACTCACTAAAAGCCCAGGCTGGTCTCAAACTCATAGCAATCCTCCTGCCTCAGCCTCCCAAGTGCTGGGATTACAGGCGTGAGCTACCATGTCTGGCGATGCTTTTATATTTAAAACTGTAAGGCTCCCTGTCTCTTCTAATGCAATGATTCATTGTAGAATGCACCACTAATTCTTTATCAGATAAGGAAGCTGCATCCTCTTTCATCTCTCATCTCCCAATCCTGACATTTGTAAAACGACTGTCACTTGCACATTCAGATTATTACATGAACTTGTTACACTGTGAATTTACTACCTACACTATATCAGCTTAACAATAATTTAGACACCAGCTATTAAATTTTCCTGTACCTGGGACCATTTGCATCTCTTACAACCTATTTTGCCCATATTTCAGATCATTGTACTTACTCATTTCTCAAATGGCTTGAGTATTTTTGTAACTGTTTTTAAGAAAGATATTCAGATTTTTTATTTTATGAATTCTTATAAATATAGTGTACACTCAAGTTAAGACCAGCCTCACATATAGACAACTTGGGTTATAACTGGAATTTCAGTTTTAACTTCTGACAAAAGTCTTGTGTTATGAACTGAATGCCAGTTTTTCCTGTTCAAGGTTAATGGAGAAATCCTGAGCAAATGTCTCCAAAGGACACTGAAACTTACCTAGAAGAAAGTTTGACCTAACATTTTACAAGAAAGAGACTTTGAAGGCTGTGTAGAGAGACCTGAGCCTTCAATTGACCCCATGGTTGATGACACTGTCACTATAGCAGAGTCCACAGGCTTGCAGGTAGACAGTGGTGATGTTGAGGAACTGGTGGAGAAACACTCAGAGGAATTGTCTACAGAGGAACTTCAGCAACTTCTATCTGAGCATCAGCAAATGGCATCTGAGAAACTTTCTGAAGAGGTTGGGGGAATATCAACAATCAGTGCAGCGAAGTTCTTCTGAAATAAAGGAAATCCTGAAAAAATAGACAGAGCTACAAACATTTGTAGAGAAGACCCACCCAGACAGAAAAAAAGCCAATTGTTGCAGTTACTCTTTAATGACAATGTCATGTCATACTCCAGAACAGTGTTAAAGAAAAGAAAGGAAACAGACAACTTTAGACCAGTTTTTAGTTCTAAAAAGTTGAGACCTAGTGACCTAGAAGTAGGCCCTAAAGAGTCTCCCAAGCAGAGAAGGACACCAGAGACCCAGATTCCTGATATACTTATAAGAGAGAACTCTCCTTCCAAGCAATTACCACCTTTAATTTCACCCTTCCTTCCTGCAAGCAAAAATGTCAACTTGAATGGTGAGCACAGTATGAAATTGTTGTTTCTGGTAAACAAGGCACATTTTATAACTTTCTGATGAACACTAGGAAAATTATTGGTGTTTCTGATAAGTTATGCACATTATACAACCCTTTTTTATTATGAAAAGGTTAGTTAAGGGGTGCTTTGGGAGTTTTGAACTGCATTCTGGGTATTTTCATTATTTCTTATGGGAAAAATAATGTCGATTTACAACCAACTTGCCTTACACCCAACATGAGTTGTCATGACTCCATTGTATATGAAGAATTTTTTGCCTTTTCATATTAGTTAAGATCAGATTTGGCTATATAGAAGATAAATTCCTAAATTATTAAAAGACATTAAAATACATGTCTCATGCATAAAAGTAGTCTGGGCATAGGAACCTCAGGCTTGATATGGATCTCGGCTTTCTGCTGTCCCATCCCTTGAGCATGCATTATATTCAGATCTAATTTGGTCACCCAAATGCTAGTCATCATATTAAAGCTGCAAGATGGAGTAAAGTATAGAAGAGAAAATGATGTTCCCTTCTTCAAAGAGAATTCCTGCGGAGAAGGGTGCGAACGCGGAGAACTGAAGTTAGGAGGTTGGACTGCGTGGGTGGAAGGAAATGGTAACTGAATTTTTGCTACAGACAAATTTGCGTTTGCGCATTTATACTTTCTAGTATCTTCTAGAAAAGGTGGTCAAGGGCAGGAATTAGACTTGAAATGTATTGCGTTAATATGTCATTTTTCTTAAATACTTGCTCTGGGAGGATGAAGCAAGTCGACTCTGCTTTGTTCCGGACTCACAAATGTAAATTTGGGATCTGAACTTGGATTAGACCGGGGAAGCTTTTTGCTGGAGAGTACGGTGAAGTTTTTAGTTAATGAAAAACAATTGCATCTTGCTTTGCTCCATTTTCTCACGGGGACAGACTCGCCGGTGTCCAGTTAAAGCGTTCCCAAACAATGGTCACAGGACGTTGCCGAGGTACTTGGAGGATAGACTAGAGCCAATAGCGTTTTCCCATCTGTGACTTTCCCGGAGTGCCTCGCTAGAAGGGCACTGATTGGCTCTGTACCTGCGTGTGTGTTGACGTAAACGCCGATTGGTGGAGCCACAATGATGGAGAGTTCCTGTGGCCACTCAGTTCCCAAAGATGGTGGCTTTAATCATCTGCAGGCCTTTGTAGTCTCTCTTCTAATCTAATAGGGCTGCTGCCGGTTAACTGCTTAGGCTACAGTCTGGAAAAGGAGGCAGACATTCTGAGCTTTCGCACATCCTTTCAGCGATGTCGTTTTTGTCACGGTTCTGGAACTTGCCGCTTTGAGGGAGCCCAGGTCCATGTGGTCGTTTCCATTTATTAGCATGTCGGTTCGCACCTCTCTCAACCAGTGACACGCCAGAATCAAAGCCCGAAACGGAGTCTGTGGAAAATGAAGCCGTTGCCCCAGAGTTCACCAACCGAAACCCTCGGAATCTGGAGCTCTTAGGTGTAGCCAGGGAAGAGCAGGGTTGGGAACAGTGTGGCCTTCCCGCCAATTCTGGCACAGGTTGCGAGTTGTAAGGACTCAGCATCATGTAGAAGCACTTGTTGAGCATTGGAATGGCCAGATTGTGGTGTCAGCATCCACTCGTGAGCGGGCTCTTAAAAAGCACCTTTATAGTACCAGAAACGTAGTGGCTTGTGAGACTATAGGACGAGTGCTGGCACCGCGATGCTTAGACGCAGGAATCAACTTCATGGTCTACCAGCCAACCCCTTGGGAAGCAGCCTCAGACTCGATGAAATGCCTACAAAGCGCCGTGACAGAAGGTGGTGTGTCCTAAAGGAGCTTCGAAGAATCGATGAATAAAATAAAGCCATTAATGTTTCTGTAAATATAAAACTATTGGCTACTGTGGCCCTCAAAAGAAAGCATCCAGAGGAAAAAGCAGCCTGGAAGTTTTATAGCACAATTTAACAGTGGAAGATCATTTGTAATTAAATTTGATGTGTAAGCGTGTATGGGGTTTTATTTTTTAATCAAGAGCTAAATTCTTCCCCCTTTTTTGGACATGAATGACATATCTAAGGAAAACATCATCAATTATAACTTTTGAAGGACAAATTAAAATTTGTAAGTCATAAAATAAAGACATAATAACTTTTTAAAAAAGGGGGAATTCCTGGAAGTTTATTCAATACTTATTGGAAAAATAAGAAGATAATAATCACATAGATATACACAATTGCCCAGACAAAATTGAAGAAATGCATGGAAATTAGATAGTACCTTTTAGTTCTGGACAGAAAACTGAGCTTTGTCATTATTGAATACATAAAATTTGAAGGTAAGAAACACTTTCTCCAAAAGCTAGGCAAGAATTGCCTCATTGTCTCCTTACAATTCTTTCAAAAAGTAATTGTTATATTTGTTTCCCCTGTAAGAATTATCATACTTCCTTTTCTCTACAAAGGGTGCTTGTGGAGTTTACTTATCTCTAAAATTAAAAAAAAAACTAATCCATATATGAGATCTATTTTTCTTTATTAATTTATTTAATATTCATTAGTGCCTTAAAATCTTTTGTTTGTTTGTTTGTTT